TATTTTATATTCTATATAATAACACCTATACCAAAAACTATTTAAAAAAAAAAATAATTAATTTTAAATTCAAATTTTAAAATTAATTTATAAATGCAAGGAAATATATAGAAAAATATTTATGAATTTAATAACTTTTAACACCATTTGTTGATTTTTTAACACTTTATTAAATTATATGATCTGCCTTAACTAACACAACTGTACAATATGCACAATAAAAAATTAAATAATATTTACCACATTTTGCTACATAGGGTAGCAAAAGAAATGAGAATTATAACAAAATGTAAGTCGAGTAGAGCAACAACAGCGAAAAGCGAATGGAAAAGTAAACACGAAAAAAAAAATACAGAAAATAAAAAATAAATGAAAACATTGAAAGAAAAAGAGAACAGAAAAAAAAAAGAAAAATTGGCAAACTCTGCCCTGAGGTCACGTACCGAACGAAAGCGAAGACCGGCGATGGTCGATCAGCGACGTTCTAATGAGAAAGCAGACCAGAAGCTCTGATGATTTTTGGGCAACCGAAAATCGCCCAGAATCAACTGAGATGCTTGGCATGAGATGCGGAAAAGGGCGGGGCGGAGCGGGGGCTACTGTGGGTAGTGCATCTCAATTGCCCGAAAGTGAGAGCGCCGCGTTCGAGCTGTGGCCCCAGCAGCAGACTTGGTATCGGCCAGCTACGTGTGCCGTCGATCATTTGAGACGCCGCCAACGTCGCCGCCAGACAAAACAAAAGCCAAACGCTGACCGAGCTGTGGCAACATTTCCATGGAAACTGCCAAGACGCCAACAACTATATCGATGCCGCCGCGGCTGCTGCTGCTGCTGCTGCTGTGGGTGTTGCTCTGTGGGCCCAGCATCGGGTGAGTTGATAAATCAAAGATGCCCAAATCCAATCCATAAATATCAACTCCAACACGAAACCCAGCTCGGCGCTGCCCAAACGCGAGCTGCAAATGCTGGAGATGATGCAGAATATATTGCGCATGGATAGCGTAGATGTGGGTGGACGCAATCAACGATCGCCCATGGCGTATGCCTCCTCAGTGCCGTGCGAGGACAGCCTGCCCATGGACAGCAGCCAGCTGTTCGAGGAGGACTTCGAGAGCGACGACAGTGAGGAGTGCAGCGACTTTGAGGGGGCATGCCATGATGGCTCGGCACCGCACTCAACGCCGCCGCTCTGCCCACATCCGCTGGTGCCCATGGACCATCCCTGCTTCATACGGGTGGTGGTGCTGCGCACGCCTCTGATGCACCAAGATCCCTGCACAAACTTCACCCTGGGCATGCAGCAACCCACGTCGACCACAACTGCCCGGCCCAGTGCCAAGAAGCCCAAGGACAAAAAGTGCAGAGTACAGAAGCAAAAGCAGGTGCCGAATAGCGCCGCTAATGCACTGAACACCACTGACACCAACAACAGCACCACCAGCTCCCCAGCAAATGCCACCGAATCGGAGACAACTGAGGAGAGCACGGTTCCCACAACGCTGAACACAACAGTTGAAACCACTGAGACCACTGAAATGAGCAGCACACCGTACAGCAGCACCACCTACACCCCCTACACCACAACTGAAACCAGCACAACCACTGAGCTAACAACCCCAATGATGGACATGCCCACGAACGCCAAAAACAGGCACAATGCGCAAAAAAAATCCGATAAAAGGGGACGCCGTAAGAAGAGCTCAAAGAAAAAGGCAAGCGTGCCGGATGCACCCCCGATCAAACACGATGGAGCCGTGCAGTCGAGTGACATGTCTCCGGTAGTTGTAAAGAACACTCCGGGATCCAGCACATTGCGGCCCGAAGCGATGGCAATTCCAGCGTCAGCAAATGACTGCATCGAAACATCGGAAGATCAGGAAACTGCAGAGAGAAACGCAGAGAGCGAGGCGCAAGAGGAGCCGGAAGACTGCGAATCTGAAGGTAGGTGGGAGCTGACTAAGGTCAAGGTTAACTTTCTCGAGAAATGAAGTTAACTTACTTAGTTACTTATTTAACTCTAATTAGCCAGCGAAGAGTGCGAGGACAACGAGGACCAGAACACGAATCTCTGTCCACAGATTTCATCAAGCGGCGGCATGGGTAAGCGTAGAGCTCAAGCTGAAATTGGCAGAAAGAGAACCAAACTACTTTTTATTCCCTGCGCAGGCCACATGCGTCATCCTACTCGTTATCGCAAGCCCTTGGGCAACATTGTGGAGCCCATTCTCTATGAGGGTCAGTTTGCTAAGCCGCGCCAGCGGATTGGCACGATGCCTCAGCAGCCGCACCGACGCGACTTCTACGTGAGCAACAAGCAGATTATGCCCAGGCCGAGGCCCAAGCAGCGGGAGCCGCTGCCACACTCGATCTACATGAACAACATTGTGCGGGGCATCAAGTGCAGCGATGAGGCTGGACACACTGGACACGCTGGACACGACCATCAGCCGCCGTCGAGGCACTACGTCGGCCGCAAGCCCGTAGTGGTGCCACGCAATTGGCCCGGCCGACGAACTGTGCCCAATTACGTTCGGATGGGCACGCCGCCCTCGGCGCCCGCGGGTCATCAGCGCGGACATGGCAGTTCGTTATATGGGCTCAGCTCTGCTGAAGACTCGGATGCCTATGACCATGACAGCGATCAGTACTACGATGACGATGCAGCCGAGCACCACGGCTGGCCACGTGAGCATCCCCCGCACTCGTCATCAGCTGCCTCTGCCGCTGCCGATCCCTGCCAGGCGGAGCTGGAAAGGGGCCGGCAGAGGCAGCGAGAGCACGACAGGGACAGAGACAACGACCACGTAATGGACTACCAGCAGCACTTCTTCACCTAGCCCTACACCTAATTAGCATAAGCAACCACCGGCATTAGCCCCCCGCACCCAGTAAGATAATAAACAACGCTTGCACCCAAACCCCAAATCCCAAACTATTTCATGGCAGATAGCAACAGAATGTTCACAATGGTGATGAGTGGCCGAGTGTGCATGGCGAGAAACCCCTTTTAGCCAGTTCGCCTACGTCAGCAGCGCCAATTCAATTGCTTTATAAGTCCCCCATTGGGTGTGGGAGGGGCACACACTTGCCAGTCAATGACACGCACACACGCGCCCATAATGACCAAATGCCCCAAATGGGCGGTCACCTGATGATAGCGATATTCAAAGTGTTTCGCATTGTTCGCTAAGACGCGGACAATTCTCTGATTGATAGCCAACTGGAAGTCGGGCTATCGCGACAAGCGTCCAGATTGATGTTGCTTTACATGCACAGCTCACATGTCGCAGAACGGATGAACTGGACAAAGTTCTCTCATTCACATTACATGCACTACTCAAAAGGTAAATAGGCTGCTCCACAGTCGTCCCATGACCGCAGGGCTCACGGCCCCGTTACAATCATTGGTACCTGGGCTGAATTGGAAGGCGTGTCAGAGCAGATTTGAATACATATTTATCAAGACGATTAATGTTAGCTATGGCATTCAAATTTACAACAATATTGTTCATATTACCCGCATAAGAAAGCAAAATTAATGATTAATCTTGTCTTTTAACTGTATAATATGGGCTTACATTTCAACTTTAAAATCTCTTAAGGATATACAAAAGTGTGAGTGAAATACGACCATGAACTGTGAACCATGGAAGAGTATGATGAATTTGCAAAATTAGCAGATTAGCATGAAGTATGGAGCTGAATTAGATTCATATTTTTTCTACTCTAAACATATTTTACAGTCGATTAGAGTAGACTATATAAAATAAGGCAAATCTAATGTTTTCGCTATTCAATAAATCATATATACAATGATGGTGTATATGTATGATGGGGTATATAGAAAATAATGATCATGCCGCATTTTAGAGTCATGGAATAAAGAGCTACGGATTGCTAAATAGCTCAGATGTATCACAGCTGCTGCGAGGGTCACATACAAAACACTGAACACGAATGAGACATAGCAAAAAAAAAACACATTCAACAACCTATTACAACAAACTCATACTCATCAGAATCAATAGACTCAAGAGCTTAAGCAAATCATACTCATCGAACTTAATACGCTCAGCCTGCAGCCTAGCCCACCCCACAAGCAAGTCTGCCTATACATATTATTATCCAACACTCTCTACTCCACTTTAGTGTAGAAAAGCCTTTACTCATGGAAATAATATATTACTTACAATAAAAATATATAAATAAAAATCACAAATAAATAACAATTACCAATGGAATATATAAATATTATTTTAACAAAAATAAATAAATAAATAACAATACATTCCTGGTTGTAAGCCTCATCAAAACAGCATGAAAGTCTCATGAAATATGATATTTTTTATTTCAACAATTGAAGCCTTGGCTTTGCTCTTACTGAAAATATACAAATGGCAGAAAACACAGTTGATCCATAAAATAAATAATAATAATTATAATAATAATAAAATTTTCGTCGTATTCTTTCCTTTCATGACCCACTCAATATGCGCCTTCATTACATTGTAAAATTTGTTATTTTGAATGCTTTTTCATTTGGCTGTTGCTCATAATGCTTATCAGCACTTGGCCTTGACTGTGTCGCATACCCTGTACTTTATGGCACATCCCAGCAATTCATGGTAGCACATGACGAGCATTTGTGCTTGGCACATCACTGATATATCATAAGAAGAGAACGCCCCACAGGAGTTGGCCCCCAGGCAAAGAACAAAATGAAAACAAATTGTAGGCGGCTGCCCAGCCACCCTTGAGTAGGCATCCCACTCACCCACTCACCCACACACACACACACACGCAGCTCTCGCGGCAAACGTTTTGTGCTTGGCCGCCCGCTCTCTTGCCTTGGCTCTCTGTGACATTGCAAATGTCACAGGATGCCGCGTGGGTGCTGCGGCGACGCAAGAGAACAAATGTTATGAACACAGAGCTGAAGCGAAAGAGAGCGCACACAGAAAGAGAGGGCGCGCCAGAGAGAGAGTTTGTGTGTGTGTGCTAGTATGTGTGTGCGTGCGTGCGTTTGCCAAGCCGAGTCTAGGTCTATGGGGCAGTATGTGTACTGATTTTCAGGTTCTCCTGGCTCGTGGCACAGTGCGGACGTGTTTTTTCAGCTCGGGCGGAAACCTGCACGAAAGCTGCTGGTCAAGAAATTTGCAAGAAAAATCGTTTAGCAGCAACAACAATAAAATAAAAAAAAGTTTATCGAAAAAAAATGTTGATAAATAAATAAAAAATAAACAAAAATACAACCAAGCCAATTAAATACAAATACAAAATTTGTAATTACCTTTTATCTATTTACGTGTATATATATATATTTATGTGTATGTGTTAATCAATCCTCTGACCCGTACCCTTAACAAAGTGCATTTAAAGTTAACATAGTACAGCAAAGTAAATGTTTATTAGACGGATTTATGTGTAGCCAAATCTATATGCCAATATATGTATTCTTGTGAATGGCAACAAAAACAACAAAGCGAAAATCGATAAATTTATAAAAATAAATGAAAGCCAACATCTCGCACAGGTCAGCCAACGCACCTGTGACAACAGCAATCTAACGTAACTGTAATTGCTAGCAGAGCTTTGGCAACTAATTGAAAACACAAACACTGCCACAGCACGGGCAGAGCATTCAGCTCGATAACGATCCAGACAAACCACCGTTGCAAATCCAAAGACAAATACTACCAAATGAGCAGCATTTAAAGAACCAGCAGCAGCAGCAGCAGCCGTAGTAACTAACTGGGTCAGTAAGCTTCAGCAGCAGCAGAAGTTACTGTTACTGTTGCCAACTTTTCGCCTTTAAAGCTGGACCAGAGCTTCCTGGCAAATACGGTAAGTTACTGCTAGTTCAACTGCTAAAAGGCCGGGTGCGGCTGGCGGCTGGCGGATTGCGGGTGGCAACAGGCCAACATTTTTGTTAAGGCTGACAGTTTTACGTTTTGATTTACCCCTTTGCATTCTAAGCGTTTCAAATGGGGCGTGTTGGGCTTTGGCTAAATTCCGGCAATTAAGCAACTCGCACAGATTAGTCGTTGCGTGTGAACTATCTACTGGTTAATTTAGCTAAAGAAATATGTATGAATGTATGTGTGCAACAATTTACTAATCATAATGATATATCTACCTACTTATAAGGTTGATATATTTTTAGAAATATATATAATATAAAAGCTACAGTTAGAGCAGTAAAAAAATTTAATGGTTTGGATTATTCAAGTTTACTTGAGGAACTGATTGATAAATCAATAAATTGATTTATTGATTAATTAATTGAGTGATTGATTGATTGACTAATTCACTGATTGATAAGAAATTGAAATCTAAACTCATGTTAAGGATGGGACTACAGTCTAAAAATGAAATGAATGTTTAGGTACATTATGCAGTTTATATAGGATAACTTCAAGTCCATCAGCTCTCTCATATGTTTCAGATTGCCTACTCGGTGTCAAGCATAACAAACACATTTCGCATTTTGATTAATTCGTAATTGTTTTCCGCGAAAACTAACCAAAACACGACAAAACAAAACAAAACAAAACAAATAAATCATATTTTGTTATTTTTATGCCAGCTTGTGCACCTTTTGTAAGGGGAAACGGTCAGGGAAGTAACAAAAGCTTTTGACATTGAGAGTGAAAGCGTTTGGGAAATCTGCTGCTGCCTCAAAGTCTGAAAGCGCTTTGTTGATAAGAACGTGCTTGCAAGCGATATGCGAATGGAGGCGGCACAATGGGTATATCAAGTGTGAAATTACGTTGAATTGGAGCCACTTGCATTTACTGCTGCCAGAGATATCGATTTATAGCTGTGTCTCAGATTATGGCTGGTTGATTAGGCGTAATAAGAATTAAATAATATATTACCAAACAACTTATATAGTTCATATTTTTAATATAAACATTGGTGCAGTGAACCAATCAACTCTAACTTAAATTCCCTACAGAGTATCTCAGCCTTTCACTCTCTTGTAACGAGTTCATATAAGGGTCTGCCACTCAGCATGTCGCCTTGTAAAGCGGGTCAGAAGGTCACTCAAGTGCCGCCTTTCTAGGCGACATTGCCAATTGCAGATGCTGAATCCTAATTTTCAGATATGCCAAGCCAAGTCAGTGCCAAGCCTGCCTCAGACGCTTTTGATAATGTGCCAGCCCTGATTAGGCTGCGGCAGAGTACGTAAACGAGTTTTCAATCGAATTATGTAAAGAATCAATAAATTATCTGACAGAAAAACTCAGAGCCAGAGCACATGCAAAACACTTTGCAAGCAATCTAAGGTCGCTTGAAAAATTATATTAAAATTGAAATTGTATATTCAATAGAAAAAGTTTGATGTTTCATTAAAGATTTTAAATGAAAATTTAATTATAGAAAACAAGTTTGATAATGTCTGCTGAAAGTCTGTTGAAAGCGTCTTTAATTTATATCTAGAATATTTTCAATATAAATATAAAATTTATTTTACATATACTCAAAGCCAAGATTTTGATTGGGAAGCTAGGCTTCCATGACTACAAGTAATTTTTCCAAGCAAATTATGTAGACAATATTTGCCAGACATCAAATAAAAAATATATTTTCAGTTAAAAGTATTCATAAAGAGCCGCAATAAATATTAGTTAATGGTCTTTATCATATATACATAATGTAAATCGTACTTGTATTTTCTTGAACTATGTAAATACTAAAAGTCCAAGAAACTTTTCTGATTGCTTATTCAGCTTAATTATTCTTCAATTAGCATAATCCTCAAGCACAGAGAGCATCGCAAAGAGCAAATTGATTGCGCTTTATACAGTTACCGAAAATCATATTACGCAATTGTTTTACTTCGAACTCGAGCCTGAGAAGCACAGTAAGCTAATAGGATTCCCACCACGCAGAGCAGCTCAAACAAGTCGAGGCAAATATAACTTTTTGGGTTACGCTGAGTGGTAGATGGGCATGGCAGGGCATAAGTGGCCATGCGTGTGCCACGATTCATATGACACTTGGCCATGCACATAGCCACAAATTTGTCGCATATGTCACATGGCAAAGCCTTGGGGACAAGGCCGTGAGCCGTCAGCGCCAAATGTTGACTCCAATCAATGCGTATTTTTATGCCCACTCACAGCTGTGCCTCCCTCCTCAGTTGCTTCCCGTGCCGGCTGTGGCTTCGTTTTACCTATTTACGGCCATAATTGGTATGGGCCGTTACATTAGCCAATAATTTCGATGCCTGAACTGAAAATACCTGCAATGCAAAATATACGCCAGTCTTGAAAAGTTTCACTATCATTAGAGCGAGGGTGTGGAGGACACCTATGTGCGTGTGTAGTGGTGTGAGTGTGTGTGTGTGTAGTCGTGTGTGTATATAATTACCCAGCAAGTCAGGCATGTCAAGTGAGAGCGTATGCATGAGCAGAGCTACTTAATCCAGACGAGCCTGCTCTCACCTCAGCGCCTCAGCTCGATCCATTAACTATGCGACTTTCATGTACACTAACACGCACGCACATTGACAGAACAACGTTTAATGTGTGTGTATCAAAAGTAAAAGTAATCAAAACTTATGTAATAATTATATATTGTACATAATTTATATGAAATGAAGGCTGCCAGGAATTGTTCTACCTCTAAAATTTTCTGCAATTTTTTTATATTTTTATTTTTATATTAAATTCAAATTAAATTTAAATTACTGAAAATCTTAAATTTTAACTTATATATAATAAAAAAAAAGTCATATAAATAAAAAATGTAATAATAAAAATTATAATAATTCAAAATTCTTCGTTTTTACAATGCCTTTAACTTTAAGCTTTCCAGAAATTAAAATTAAATTTTATGCCAAGCCTTAAATGAAATAAAATATATGCTTTAATTCGCTTAATGCGACACACCTTTTTTTAAGCGGACCCAGGAGACAGACGAGCGCTATAAAAAATAAACTCAATTTATTTTTGTATATTTTTGTCCTTTGGCTGGCAGCATAAATAAATATTTAAATTTAGACACAACACGCGTTTTGTGGGTTAGCTCCAGTCGCAGCTCGAAATGATATTGGGCCTGCGTCGATATCGCTTTTGTTGACATCTTATGTACGGCGACCCGCCAACGGCCTTCGGCTTTGTTCAACGATATCTGGTTAGATGGGAAAAGGGAAGGGAAATAGGAAAATCAATAGAAACAAACAGCGCTTTTTGCTTTCATTCGCTGATTTCTGCACACTCTGCGTATTTGAAAATTGCATTTACACTTGACACTGGAACGAGTCAGCCCACATTCAGCACTTAGGTGGCGCAGCACGAGCCAACCCGGGCACACGCAGAGAGCTAACCACAGGGCCCTGCCAGCCATCTGTACCCTCTTCCGCTCAATCGCTTTGGCACTCGCACGTTCTATGGGCCCACTTTTAGCCCATAGGCCCGTGCACATGGTTGGTTACAAAACGCTCGCCTACAAGTCTCATATCCGCAATGTGTCGGGCCAGAGGAAAAGCGAAGCGAAGCGAACGTCAAATGAAATAACAAAATTGAATGCAATGAGTCGAGAACGGGAACGGGCACGGGGATGGGAAGGGGGCACCTAATGGTGGCACCACGAAAAACACCAAGAACAAAATCTGTTAAAAGCATAATATATTCAATGCACATGAAAAGTGACAGAACATTCACAGCTGGAAAAAAAGGACGTCGATTCCCCTTGATGGTCTGATTAAATGCACTTTGACTCGCTCGAGCATTTATAAATTCAATTTGCAAATTGTAAAAGTTGCTTTTATGGTTCACTGATTCAATAATCATAAAAAATAATATAAATCGATTCTATTGGCATAGAAGTTCAAATTAAAAATTTATTTATATTATTTTTTTTTAGCTTTAGACTTGCTCTAGTTTTCTGCTTTTGACTTCTACAAATTTTAAAGCTAAAACCTTGATACCCATATTTGAACTTATTTTTAACATATCTTTTTATGCTAATTCGAAGCTATTCAACGGAAACATAAAACGTGGGAACCACGCTTTCCGCCTATTTACCAAAGCTGGGCTGACCTTTAAATTTGTTAAAATGCTCGTTTTTTAATGAGCTGTGAAAATGAGCGTGGTCTTAGCTGTAAATAATAGAAAAATCGAGCTAAATATGCAACGAACAGAATTGTAAATTGTGAAATCAAATAATATTTACGTCACGTGCTTTTCAAATATTTTTAGCGTTAGGAAAAGACAAGGCAATAATATAGGAAAATCATAAGCACATAATTTTTAATGTTTTTTTTTTTTTTCTTTTGAATTAATATTTATATCATTAATATATCACACATAACTTTAAATATTAAAATTATGTAAATTAGTTATTATAATAAAATTTTATGCATTTCACAACTATATATGAGTGACCAAATAAGGGCAGTAGGAAAAGAATTATCAAGTGGACAAAGCCGATAAAATYTTAAATTATTTTCTGCTTTATTTTGAAGCTATATGGTTGCGTCTAATACATCGTGAAAAGAGGATGTATATTATGTTTATATTCACTCAAATATATATTATTATTAAATGTTTTATATTGCAAGTATACAAAACCAGCTGACGATTTAAAATGGTTTCCTCACTTATTATCCATCAACACTTCAGACATTAATGTAAACTGAAACTGTTGAAATAAAACTGTTTGTACAATATGCTCTACATACCAGCTTACATTCATCATCAGTCAATCAATCAATCATTCAATTAGGTTTGTAATTATTTTATTTCCTGCACTTGCATCAAATGTTATTTTATTGCCTAGCAAAAAAAAAAGCTGTTTGCTCTTTACTGCACAAGTTCTATTTAATTAAATTGCAA